GTTAAAATAAATCGAATGGTTGCCTGGTATTAAGTTTCAAGGAAGTTAGTTTTTCCTCCAAGAATATGGAGTTTAATTTCCTTTACACTGGTCGTTTAATACTCTGGTGGCAAAGGTAGCCTTGTTTGCCCTCCCCTCCACCTCTCCATTACTTTCTAAATCTCATTTTTATGGCTAGGCTAGTCGAAAACGATGATTCCTTTGTAATGATCCGATGAGAGATCTCTGATTATGCGGTTGTGCATTGGACAGATCCCTCGATCTGAGAGAGAGTCTGAAGTACAGCATTAATTCGCTGAACCAGGCACCTTGGAATCTACGAATAGCAAGCAGCATGTGGAGGGAGGCGGGAAGGGGGAGGGGAAGGTGAAGTTACATTTTTGCATCGTTCCACCAACTGCGCTACCATGGTTACTGCGGAGAAATTTTCTGAAGCTAATTTGTTCTGGAATTCTCATCGAGATTCTTTTCGATCCAAGCGTAAATAATGTGCATAAAAATCTATTCCTTGACGAAAAAATGATTAAAAGTCCTAATTAGCGGCGGAAGCTTAAAGGTTTTCATCAGCAGTGAAGACATTCAATATTTTTACACTGTTTCCAGAGAATAATCACTGTTTTACATTGACTAAAAGTTATTCTGTGACTGTTCTCTATCATCATGTATTTAGTTGGATGATGCTTATGTGGAGCTCGAAAGAGAAAAAGCGAAGCTCGAACAAACGAAACAGTTCTTGAGCAGTGTACAGCGAGAAAAACTAGATTTGGTGAGTGCTTCTCTCTATTCAACCATATACGCACATTAAAAAGGATGACTTACAAGCGACTTGGAAGTAAAATGCATATACCGTAAAAAAAATAGTTCACAGAGCAGGTCCTTCCAGGACAACTTTACATGGCTTAATAAACCGAAATGTTTTATCTCAAAATTTTAATCCTCCAACTCTTGTTCCATTCTTGCCTCCAGTTCGTCTTTTTTTTCCTTTTAAAGTAAAATCCTCCACAGAGAAATGCAAACAAGTAATTAGCTTAGTGATATCCTGTGCTATGCTTAAAATATTTGCTGCGCTACTCACTGAAACAATACTGTTTTATTTCAGATCAATAATATCATAGAAGC